AATATCTTTAAGGTCATTTTTTCTAAGAAGTTAAAATATGAACAATTTCATCAACAAGATACCTGAATTATTGAACCATTGTTTATAACACTGTTTTTACAACTTAGCAGTCTTTGAAGTGTCTTTCTGACTTTAGTATTATCCTCAAAGTATCAAGAAAAAAAGGAAACAATCACAATTATTTGATTTTTTTCACAGAAGGTTGCAACTTTCATAGTGGACAAATATTTAGACGTTAAAGATAAATATCTTGTTTAAAAAGAATAAATAAATCCAATTAAGCTTTTATATTTTAGACCTAGTTTAGAAACACTGATAGCTGAAGTAAGACGATAAATTTCTATCGTCTTTTAAGGAATAAAAGAATTTGATAACCAAATTAATAATGTATAAGAAAGAGGGAAACAGAACTTTAAGCTAGTTGAGGAAAAAATGGTTTCAAGCTTTTTTTTAATGACATATTTTTGCCATTGATAATGAATAGCCTGTTGATAAGGAATTTGTCATCTAATCATTAAGAGATACAGATAACCTTTACTTGTCTGCACTGTACTAGTATATGTAATTGAAAGTGATAAAGCTACATTCTTAAAACCATTTTTCTGTTTACATTTTCTAATAAACAGATATCTTTCTCTTGTTATATTTGTAATTAAGTTTTATTCTCTTATTCTTTGTTTTCTAGTTGTATCTTCCCATTTATGGCTTACAGATCTTTGTACTCAGCTCTTGCTCTCTTGTCCATCTTCCAGTCCCCACCTCATTCAGCTGCCTGCTCCCCAATTTAGATCCCTAATTTCAGTATTCTACCTTCTACCTGGCATTTGCCAATGTTCTTGCATCTGGGTTCTTGCTCTCCATTCTCTTTTTCTTAATCTTTGGTTCGCTACTACTGTTTTCAGGTAGTTGCTGGATTTTTGTATTATTTCTGTTCTCCGATATGTGCAGAACTGCAAGGATGTAAGAATTGGAAAGTAGAAACATAGAAAGAACTAACATGTACTGAATACCTACTCTATGTTAAGTGATTTATCATTTAGTTTTCATAGCCCTCTTATCAGGTGTCGGTATATTTTATTATTACCTCCATTATATTCATAAGTGCTCTGGAAACTTAGAGAGGTTAAATATTTTCTTCTAATTCACAGAGCATCTATGTAGTAAAGCCAAGTTTCAAATCTAGATTCGTTCATTTATTCCTCCACTTCTTTATTCAACAAATATTTGTTGAGCATACACTATATGTTAGGCTCTGTACTAGATGCTGAAATAGATCCAACTCCTCTTGTTATTGACCTTAACTGTGTAGTAGCTTTGTCTGACTTCATAAAGGATGATCGTTTACTATACCAAACAGCTTAACAGGAAGAGAAAATAAAAGGGAAATAGAAAGGTTCTAATGTTTTATGAAAATGTTTGCTATAGATGTGAGAAAGACTGTATTTGTGCATTATTTAGGAATACCCTATTGAAAATATCAGTTTTTATCTAGTACAGAGAGTCTAACATCTGCCTGCCCCAACCAACACACCACCATCAGCACTAGTGCCTTTCAGTGGCATTACCATGATATATTTTTTCTTTTATGTTCTAAAATATATAAGGTTTGGTCTATATGCTCAAATTATTTAGAACATCATCAGAAAGAATTACTTGTCCTGCCTGAATTATGTTTAGAGAAAGATGGAGAACTTTGTAAAGAATACAGTCAGCCCTGCAGAATCCCTAAATACTGTATTTTCGACCCTTAGTTGGTTGAATCCACAGATCTGGAACCAGCAACATGGAGAGCAACTGTACCTCATTTGATTCATCCATCTATATATTTATTTATACCCTGAAAAATATTTTAGATGTCTTACCCAAATACATAAATACAGCAGAATTTTTTAAAAGATAAAAGGGAAGAATAGGACAGGGAAAAATCAGATGAAACTAAAGTTGTGTTAAGTAAGCCTACTCAAATGTATCCACAAATTTTTCTCTGTTCTCAAGGATAACTTGATTCACAAGCATTGTAATTTAAAAACAACTGGTAACATAGAAGAGTACCCATTCCTAGTTATGATAATTGAGAGGAAATTTCTCCTCTAGGTCCTTCTAAAGACCACAATGTAATGTGGTGAACAATTCAGATACTTCCCAATGTAAATAAGAGTTTGGACCATTTTATTGACTCTAATTTCCTACCACAAAAGCAAAGCCCAATAAAACAATTCTATAAAAAGTGAAATCAGGCATTCAGAATAGATCCTATCCAGTGACCTGGCCAAATCCAATGGTGTGTTTTAGAGGATTTAGAAAAATTAATGAACCACATCTCTTTTAGGCAATTCTCATGTATCATTTGTCAATTGAGTTTTTCATGTACTGGGTGACAGTGAACTTACACACTCTCTGAGGTTTGTTTTATTTACTACGGCAACATCAGTACCTCAGATACTACCTGGTATATAGTAGATGCTTAATAAATGTTTGTTATTAAATGGATAAATGTTGTGCTTTGAAGTATCAATTTTAAGGGAAATACTCCCTCTCAGCTATCTGTTGATATTTCCCTTCATGTGGCTAAATAACGTATGCTACTATATTTTGGGATGTATCGTCTATATGTGAAGCCCCAAATTCATTAAATGTCAACCATTGCTTATATAACCTTTTCAAGCAAGTAATGAAATAAATATTAATTCAATCCAAGAAGTTCGTTTAATATTGTTATCAATGACATCCCTTTGCTTGATGTTTAGGGTTCTAATTTTAACATCCCTGAGAAGTTGTAAACGTCATTAAAGCAATTTATAACATAGAAGTAGTGTTTCCTCTCAGTAAGTCTCAAAATCATAACAGATGATTAACTTTGGAAAAAAAGTAATAAAGACTGTATAATGACATAGATGAAGCTAGAAACCGTCAGTCTCAACAACTGACACAGGAACGGATAATGAAACACTGCATGTTCTCACTCATAAGTGGGAGTTGAACTATGGACACAGGGAGGAAAACAACACATACTGGAGCCTGTCAGGGGTTGGGAGGGAAGACGAGGGAGAGCATTAGGACAAATACCTAATGCATGCAGGGCTTAAAACCTAGATGATGGGTTGATAGGTGAAGCAGACCCATTGCACATGCATACCTATGTAACAAACCTACACATTCTGCACATATATCCCAGAGCTTGAAGAAAAATTTTTTAAAAAAATTTATAAATTTTTAGGCTGGGCACAGTGGCTCATGCCTGTAATTCCAGTACTTTGGGAGGCCGAGACATGCAATCACCTGAGGTCAGGAGTTCAAGACCAGCCTGGCCAACATGGTGAAACCCCATCTCTACTAAAAATACAAAAATTAGCCAGGCATAGTGATGGATGTTTGTAATCCCAGCTACTCAGGAGGCTGAGGCTGAAGAATCGCTTGAACCTGAGAAGCGGAAGTTGCAGTGAGCCAAGATCCTGCCACTGCCCTCCAGCCTGGGCATCAGAGAGAGACTCCGCCTCAAAAAAAATTTTTTTTAATTTTTAAAAGATTAAATAATGCTAGCAGAATTATTATATTTTTGTTAGTTTTTCTTTAAAATGTCTGCCATTGTTAAATACCGCATTATGCTAGGATTCACTGTACCAGTAAATTGCATCAATTCTGGTAATAATGTATTCTCTATAATTGGAAGGGATTAACTAATTTATATGCATTCTAAACTTTATTTATAACATCAATTAGTATGGAATACATACCTGATCCATTTTAACTGCTTTTGCCCCGAGGTACATTCTTATTGAAGACTATCATCCTACTTTCAAAGAAATATTGAAATGCTAACCTTTCTCTACCTTCATAATTTACTTTTTGTTTGCCTTTCTACTTATTTACTGTAACACTTCATTTTGCAAACTTCATTTTTGTATTGCTCCCAAGTATTGTAACACTTAAATTTTGGAAACAGAGGACTGTAAATGGATTAAGTCATGTATTTCACACCCAACTTTTAGCCTAAAATGTATCTTACAGTAAGATATATACCAATTTTGATTGACCATTCGAAAATGAAATTTTCCTGTCTCACTCATTAGTGTATTGCAGGCTTAACTATACTCATCTTAAGAATGCCCTATCTTCCGGGCATGGTGGCTCACGGCTGTAATCCCAGCACTTTGGGATGCCAAGGTGGGCAGATTACCTGAGGTCAGGAGTTCCAGACCAGCTTGGCCAACATGGTGAAGCCCCATCTCTACTAAAAATACAAAATTAGCCAGGCCTGGTGGTGCACACCTATAATCCCAACTACTCAGCAGGCTGAGGCAGGAGAATCACTTGAACCCTAGAGGCAGAGTTTGCAGTGAGCGGAGGTCACACCACTGAACTCCAGCCTGGGCAAAAATAGCAAAACTTTGTCTCCCAAAAAAAAAAGAATGCCCTATCCTAAAACTCTTGGTATAAAGGTGAAGCCCTTAACTTCTTTTTATTTAAAAAAGACAGTTAATTTATATTAAAGTTTCAGAACATGGTAAATGTAGAATTTTTCCTCTAGCCAGTACATGGGGAAAGTTGACATGATGACTTCTTGAGATCCTTTTAAAAGCATACTGCTAGGAGAGAGATGGATGATCTCAGGTTTTCAGGGACTAATTATTTCAAGAGTAATAGACAAAGGAAAATACCCAAATTACCCTGTGAAAAATCTACTAAGTTGTTATAGCAATCTGAGGCCTCATTTTTGGAATTTAGGTTAATAGTGAGATAAGATTTCTATCAAATACTTCTGAGCTATAAGAAATATGAAAGGACTGCTAATATAAAATTTTTCTTTATTTTCTTGGTCCTCAGCTTTTATTCAGTGGTCCTTGAGAATTGAGTCTGGATGCCTCAAAAGATAAATGTTTTGGAAATTAAAATATTATCGAAAGCCTGGTTTATAATCATTTTTAAGTGGGTTTTACTACTCTGACTTCATTCTTTTTTGGCTAATTTCACTCAGTCTGCTATTTAATCTTTAATTACAGGCCACAAAAGAAGTAATAGAACGGGAAGCGCCAGGGATGGCCCTGGCAATGCTGATGGGATCACTTAATGTTACACCTCTGGGCATGCTCTCTAGGTAAGAAAGTCACCAACATGTTGCAAAGAAAGTTAATTCCATACCACTAATCAATACACTGTATTGATAAACCTAAGAAACTTTAGTCTTAACACTTAAGTTTGCCCTTTTTTCCAGAGTTAAGAGTTTTGGTAATCTGTCAGCCACAATTTTCCCACTTCACTTTTTTTTTTTTTTTTTTTTTTTGCTTGTTAACCTTTTCAGAGACTCTTATATTACTACTGGTAAAAGTTGTCAATCTCTAACCCAGAGAATCCAGTTTATTACTATGTAAAGTTATTTTGTTTTTTTATTGTTTATAATCATCAGTTGATATCCATTAATTGTAGGTAAATACTAATTTAATAAAACTAAACTGCAGAGTTTATTAAAATAACTTGTTTTTACAAGTTATTTTGCCTAAAACTATGCCTTTGTTGACATAGATGTCAATATCCATCCTTGATTTAATGGTAATTATTTGCTACTATTTAAGCAACTCTTAGATTTAGATCCCCTAAATGAGGACAATTACATCACTTAAGTTAAAGATGGATGTGTCAACTTAGAATCTGTTGATTTAATGAGCATTAATTAATAGACAGTTGATCTCAGAGCAACCTAAAAATACATAGCAACTGTATAGTTTCAGGGTTTCATAATTTATAGCCATTTATGTATTCTGTGTGCAATACGAATATAAAATTAAATATATCCATTGACTAGTATGGAATATGAGTTGTAATGTCCTTTCTGTTACATAAACAAAGTTTATATCCCATCAGTGGCAGCCACTTGAAGCACAGATACAGGAGATTATGAATGGGTCATTAGTTACTATATTCTCTTTGCTGGCATATGTACTATAACATTTAATTTTAGTAAAAGCAAATAAAGAATTAAAGTAGCATGATAGAGACTTTAAAGTTAACAGTCCATGCTGGCCTTTAAGGAACTCCAGTTGATTCATTTATAGTGTTCTTTTTTTAACCATTACTTATATTACCAACACAAATGAGGTCAGGGGATCCCTTTTATCCTACAGAATTAAGTAGTAGTTTTCAAACATAAAAAAGCTCTTTCTGGTATACAAGCAATAACATCAAGAAAGAATTAAACTTCATCTCTTACTAATTCTTTTGTAATAAAATTTTAATTCAGTAAACAAAATAATATGCTTTTTGCCAAGCCCCATATTAAGCCTAAGGGATTCTAAGGATAGAAAGAAAAATAATTCATGGTCCTCCCTTAAGGATCCCACAGTTTAAATGGAGAAATTATTCTTTGCAACTGTTAAGGTAATTCTTCAAATTGAATATAGCTTTCTTGATCCAGTATAGAAATATCACATTCTGTTATATTGAAAGGTTTTTCTGAATTAATTTTTTTCTTCCTTTTGTAGCCTCTTAAGACTGCTGAGTGAGTGGAACATTAATTAGCAGGAGCTGATTCTAATTACTTTGGAATGAGTCCTTCATCTTTATCTGAAGGCTTTGAAAATTAACACACATAAACAGCATCAGAGCACCTTCTGGCTTTTCTGTCTCTGCAGTGCTGATTTAACTGAAAGTATATTTACAAATTTTGGAAAAGACATAGTAGTTTACATTAGTTACAGAAAAGGGGATATTTCCCTGAATGTTCTTTTTTTGTGCTTCTCAAAGACTTCATTAAAATTATTATTTTTATAATAGCCGTGATTAGATTGGTGCTTCCTTTCTACAGCCTTTCTATTTTGTATGCACTTTTGGCTTTGTACATGTTTCTGCTATAGAACATGTCATGCTATATTATAATTAATTATTTGCTTGTCTGTATTACCTAGTTTGTAGAAAATTTTTAAGGACAGGAGCTTTATCTTATTCTTTTTTACATCCTGAGCCCCTAAAACAAATTCTGATACATAGTAAGTATTTTTAAAAATGTTTGTTGTTATGGTTACTATGGATAAATAGTGTTTTACCATAGTTCTATAGCATGCTTTTCTCAAGTAAATTAATGCATCAAGTTGGTGCCTTATCTTCCTATTTTTATGTCTAGAGAGCAGCATTAAATAAAAATAAATGTTTAAAGCATTACATCTGTTTGAAATGATTTCCTGCTATTTGGACAACTTAATATCCTCCAGATTTTTTATATAACTAAGTTGGGAGATATTATGAAGTAATGGTTAAGAGCTTCATCTCTGAACCCAGATTGCTTGTGTTCTACTATGGCACAGTCAGTTAATAGCTATTTAATGTCTTTTGTTTTTGTTTTTGTTTTCTTATCTGTATAATAAGGATGTTAATAGTACCAAATTTCTTGGATAAAGTGAATTAATCCATCTAAAGCACTTAAAACAACTGACTCATAGTAACTCCTAAGTGATGATCATTGTTTTGTTTGAGTTTTTAGAGCAGGTCTGCTGACAAAACATTTTCTTAGCTTTTTTTCCTTAGGAAATATCTTTATCTCCATATTACTTCTGAAGAATATTTCACTAGATACAGAAATCTGGGTTGACTGTTCTTTACTTTCAGCATTTAAAAAAAAAATCTTAATTCCACTATCATTTGCTCCATGGTTTCTGAAAAGAAATCAGCAGTCATTCGAGTTGCTGTTTCTTTATGTGTAATGGCAATTTTCCCTGGCTGCTTTGAAGACACTTTTTCTTCAGCTTTGGTTTCAGCAATTTGATTATGATGTATCTGGGTGTAGTTTTCTTTTAGATTATCCTTCTGGATTCAGTGAGCTTTATGATTCCGTAAATTTGTCTTTAGCCAATTTGGAAAATTTACTTTTTTCTGCTACTCCAATGACATGAATTTCAGATATTTTGGTAATGTCACATAAATCCCTGAGGCTCTGATAATTTTTAAAGTCTTTGTTTCTCTGTATTGTTTTTAGGTTATTTCTATGATCTATCTTCAAATTAACTGACTTTTCCCCTCTTTCATCTTTGTTCTGCCTTTGAGCATACCTAGTGGTTTTTATTTCAGATGTATTTTTAGTTCTAAATTCTCCTTTTGGTTTTTTTGTTAATGGTTTCCATTTCTCTGTTAAGAACTTGTATTTTTATTTTTATTTCAAAAATATTGCCCTTTATGTCATGGAGAATAGTTATAATAACTGGTTAAAATTATTATTCTGACAATTTCAACATCAGGCTCACCTTGGGGTTGACATCAGTTGATTTCCAATGAGAACTGGTCAAATTTTCCTTGTTCTTTCTATGTTGAGAAATTTTGGATTATATTCTGGGCATTTGGAATACTACATTATAAGTCAATTATTTAACTCCTGTTAAAATCCTCTGGGTTATTTTAATTAGCTGGTTTTAGAAATTGATCTGATTGGGTTCAGATTATAAATTCTGTCTCACTTTCTGTGAATAATGGCTCAGCTTTTGCTATATTGTTAGTGTCAGCCCAGTACATGAACCATTTAGGAGTTAGTTTAAGGCTTGGGCAGCAGTATATACTATTTTTATGTTTCAAAAGCTTTTCTTGTACTTCTTTAGACTGTCCCATGTATTCATAGCTCAGGGGTGACCCTGGAACTTGTGTCAATTCATATACAAAATTAGGGGATCCACCTTCTTTAGCTCTCTTCTTTCCAAGAATTTCCCCCCACCCTCCAGCTAATTTCCCCCCACTCTCCAGCTTCCAGCGTATGCCATTCCTAGTTATTCTGGCCAGAGAGGTTTCTTACACAGTATTAACTTTCTTTGCAATTATGTAATTGCACACTACATAGTTGTATGTAGTTGCACACTACGTAGTTGTACACTACATAATTGCAAAGAGACAAAGAAGCAAAAGAAAAGAAAAAGGAGAGAAAGAGATTCCTCTTATGTCAGTTCTTTAGACAATATGGGCTCCTTTTTTGTTGTTTCCATTAGCTAAAGAGATACATCTTCTATCTGGGCTTCAGTTGCTAACATTGTTGTCATTATGGTATAGCAGCTCCACAACAAGGCCTAGCCCCATTAAGGCTGTTACTCAAGTTATGACTTCAGTCCCAAATCTGCCTGCCATTATTTACATTCAAAGTCATCGGGTAATCACTGTGTACTCCATCAACAATCAGTAGGAGAGAGAAGCTATGATTACCTTCTCCATCTTAGCTGACACCAAAAAAAAAGTGTTCTGACTTTAATATCAAATCCCTGACTTTACATTTACTAGCATTTACTAGCAGTGTTACCTCATTATTTTACAAAGTTTAGCACATCTTGTTCCAGTGGTTAACTGCCACAAAATAGTATCGTTTAACCTCCCTACATTTATAATTTATTTCCTACTTGGTTTTTTTTGAGACAGTGTCTCACTGTGTCGCCAGGTTGGAGTGCAGTGGCACCATCCCGGCTCACTGCAGCCTCTGCCTCCCAGGCTCAAGCAATTCTTCTGCCTCTGCTCATTTTTGTATTTTTAGTAGAGATGGGGTTGCACCATGCTGGCCAGGAACTACTTGTTTTTTTTAAAAGATCAAATACTCTTTTTTTCCCCCTAAGTTTCATTAAACATAACAGAACAACCTCTGTGGTTATACATGGAGGAATGATTTGTCATGGATTTTATTCTCAGTTTTGTCATTAATTTGATTTATGATCTCTACTTAGTTTTAAAGGGATATTACATAGCTCATAGAAATGTTATGAGATCCTTTAAATATTTACTCACACATATGTGTGTATATATATGTAATAAGAAATATCTAATTCTTAAAGAGAAATTGATTGCCAGTTTTCCATTTTCGTAAAAAGAGATTTACCATTGTAATCTTCAATAACTCATCTTTCAATTCTGTAACTGTAATAAACACATGCACTGCTTTTGTGGAGGAGATAATATTTTCCATTTGCTGCCAAAAATGGTTTTATAACTAATATTGGTTAAAAGAAAAATTTCAGTTAATAAAAACATAAACTTAATTTTTATAGAGATGAATCAAATTATTCTTAGTATTATATAAATATTAAAGTAACGTGGGAAATTTAAAATAACAGTACTGTCATCTTGAAGAGTTTCTATTTTTTT